TCTCCAAAAAAACAACCGAATCGAATCTTTTTTTTTTTTTTAATAGAATTTTTGGTGCTTAACTGCAAAGGACAATGAAATTAAAATATTAGTTGCAGTTCTTAAATTAATGCAAAACTGAGCCCTAATCTTTAATTTTGAAAACTTAAGATTTTTGCCAAATTTTGTCATTGTGTAACTAAATGTGTTTCAACAGATTAACTCAGATTAATTAAATATATTGCATGTGAGTAATATTTTGATACGCTGCAAAAACTTTTTCTCGTAAAATTAGGTAATAAATAAGAAAAAAAAGTAATGTATACTTTTGTATATAAGAAATTTCTATGGAATTATTCTTTGTGACCATGTCAAACTGTTCTCATTCAGTGTTCAACAGCATTTAAATACAATCAACTTGAACTAATAAACAGTTTTGAGCTGTCGTATTTAACGTACTAAACGTTTCTGGATTTTTTTTTTTTTTTTTTCTAAAATTCGAATACCGTTTGGCAGTTATGCAGTATAATTGATTGATAGGATAGAAATATAAATTACGCGTCCTTTCTTTGGCACAGGACGATTCATCGAAGTAGTCAAATGCTCTTTTATTATTTGAATCATTTTTGAGTGAAATGTTTTTTAACTGAGTTATTCAGTCAACTTCCCCCTCTTCAGAGGAGAGAGTGAACGTAATATGGAGAGATTTGCATGACTGAAGATTGTCAAAAAATAAATATGCAGCTTATATTTCACTAAGGTCTTACGTTGTTCGATGCATATTATTAGCTACGATTAAGGTTAAGAATTTGACAAAAGAGATTGCAGGGCTGGCGGATTTTTCTGGCTAGTAGAAATATTACGCTGTTTCCTCTTGCTCAAGAGAAAGCCCGCGGGACTGACGCCTGCTGGTCCTTGTAAGCCTTTTAGGAACTTTTAAGCCTTTACAAGCGATGATGCGTGATGAATTTTCTAAAAATGGGGCAACGACGTGAACTCACGATGATTCATCTTCGGCCAGCAGCGGTCAGGTAGTTAGTACAGGAAATAATTATTCCAAAAGTTTTTTGATTTGATTGTCAATTAGCATGAGTTAAATAGTAAAGAATGACGGTAAATAGCTTTCGTCATTTCCTGTCATCTGTATTACTTCCATATCAAAGAAGGAAAAAGAAATTGTTCTAGGATGGAAAATTTTAATTGTATGGAAGAGTAGGATTTAGGTCACTGCTTCCTTTTCTTTTTTCCTAATGTGCACTATCAGGACGTTTGCTAATTTTTGGATAAAAATTGTTGTACCATTTAGATTTAATTGTTAAAATGTAAGCCCTCTATATTTTTTACCTCTTTTCAAAGTTTTAAAAGTATTTCACATTGATTGAAGGAAATTTTCAGGAGAAGTTCTTTCCCAGTTCCAAAACAATCTCACGAATTGAAAATCTGAGTAGTTTATAATCAATCCTTTCTATAAAATATTAATAAAGAATATGGGCGTATCTTTCTTGCACAATGAAAAAAGGTAGCATGTAGAGTCACTGAGTTTGGAACACAAACAGTCCTGCATTTGAACGTGTGCACTTCGAAGTCCAAAATCCTGAATTCGCAGCCCCATCGAATTTGCTTTTTATTTATTTCATATTTTTCGTGAATTTAATGAATTTTTGATGAATAAACTCCACGACTGAAAAGCAATGTGTTATAACTCTCGAATGCGTGAAATAGTTTTTTCAAATTTAATTCGAAGACTCAGTAATTTTTTTTAAAAAAAAGGCATTGCCATTTGGCAAAACAAAAGATTAGATTTTTTTTTTTTTTTTTTTTTTTCAAATTTAATCAACAAATTCAGCGATTCAAAGGAGATTTTTAAAATTAGTTTTGCCATAGCCCAAGAAAAGAGTAATTTTATCTTCCATTCGTCAGTCTGTTGCCATTCAGAAAGACGTAAGAAATTTTTTAAAAAAATTTAATCTGTCTGAAAACAAATGAAGCAATTTAGTAGCCATAAATTCAGTTCTTTGTCCTTATTTTAATTATTAGCTGAACCTGTGGAATTAAAGTAACCGGACGCATTAAATGCATTATATATTATTATAAGAAATTTCTCATATAAATAAGAAAGATTAGGAATAATATTTAAATGGTTTCTGTAAACATAAAAATCTTGATTGTAAAATGGGCAGCGTAATCGTTTTCTAACTACCCGATTATTAATCCGTTACTGCGCGAAATAATGCACTTCAGCTTTAAGTAAATAAACTGTCATTTAACTTCGATTCTATGATATATTTTTTCCTTATGCCAACGTCTATAAAAAGGCATATGCGTTTTAGAATAGCGTTTTTTTTTTTTTTTTTTTTTTTTTTTTTTTTTTTTTTTTTTTCCCCAGAATTTTTCGTATGTTTCGCATTTGGCATCAAATAGTTTGTTTTTATGCGTTCTGTTCATCTGAAAATGTTGTATTACTAACGTTTTTGATGTCTAAGATATTACCTACTGTGAATCTCAGTTATCGAGATGAGCCGCCCAGACAGTATAGTAGTTAAGGGAGCCGACTACGATACCGAAAGGCCCGGGGTCGAATCCCAGAAAACGTACGGTTGTGAATGTCCGTCTCTTCATTATAGGAGGCCCACCTATTGGTGCCTCCATAGTAAAGTGACCACCACTTCTGGCCTTACGGCTGAGGGGCCATTAAGGGAAAATAAAATTATCGAGATGATGAGTAGAAAGACTGTATCTTCTCTTACTACGAATAGATTAAAGAAGAGATTCGTACTGGAATTTTTTTATTGTAACAGATTTACGAACTAACGAGTTTCTAATCTTCATCTTCTCTTTTAATATAAGTGTATCTGAATTCCTTCTTAAAAGCTACTCTTCGCTTATAGGATTAAACCTAATAAGATAAAAAAATTGAGAGGATGTTTGACGAGGTTAATACTTTGATTTACTAACTGGATTTAGAAGAATTCGTCGCGGTAATGCAATTACGTTTCTATTTCTTAACATGTGGCAGTTCTGTTCTTAACATTTTACTTCCGGATCCGTTTAATACTTTAATTGCGCATTTAAAGACACAAGTGTATGTTATTTTTCTCCTTAAGTTTTTTTTCAAAGCATTTTAATAAATAGTTATCTTAGTAAAAGATTAATGTTACTTTATATTACTACATAAAAATATTGATTCATGCATTTTGCATTCAGAAGCAATTTGAAAATTTGATACTTTTTATGTTTTACCGGCATTGTATGGAACGTTGGCATTTTATAGAATGCCTGGTGTGTTTAGGCAAAATATGAACTATGAGAGTTATTATCCACTTTACCTGGGTATTGTTTACAACACCTAGTACTCTGTAGCATGACAAATGCCCTTTAGGCAAAATATGAGAAAAAGGTCATGATAAGGCTATTATTTAAATGACGTTCGTTTCTCAAAAATACAAATGTTATTTTGAAAAAATAATGAAAGACTGCCATCAAAAAACTTTTATTCAAAATACTTCAAAAAGTTAGTGAGACGATCTTGGTGTACCATAACAAATTTCTATTTTCTATCTGGCTGATAGTGGAAATCAATAAGATCTATCTGACAACGCGAATTAAATTCAGAAAAAATCATTGGTTTTACAACAACTTTCTGGTAAGTAGTTTCGATATTCGAAACGAATCAGAAGTGTATTTCATACTTTGCCTGTTTATCATTTGGCATTCTGTGTAATGCGTAGGCAATGTGCGAAATGTTTAATCACACATTGCCTCCCACTATTCGGCATTCTATAAAATGCCTAGGTATTCTGTAGAATGCTGGATTTCATACTTTGCCTGTAACATATATAATTTTTAAGAATTTTAAATAGTTGTATGTTGTATGTTTTTTTTTTCGAGTGCGTTTCCTTGTTGTATGATTTTGTAGCTATTTGACATTTTTATACAATTTTTTGATGAATTAAAACAGTTTTGTGTTTGCTTATTTAATTTTTTATTTCGAATGTGTCGCCTTGTTATATGATACTCTACATGATTAAAACATCTAATATACGGATGGGTTGGTTGTAATTGTCTTGTTTAATGGAAATATAGGCACACTTATAGATCTAAAAATCATCTTGCACTAATGGCGTTGCTTGTAAAAATATGCACAATACGTTTAGATCAGTGGCGTAACTAGAACTCTTGGAGTCCTATGCAAAAATGTTTTTCCTGGGTCTCTCCTCCAGTAAAGATAATGTGTTTAAAAATAAAAATAAAAAATAAAAAATTTTAAAAAGTGAAAAGTTAAAAAAAATCAAGGATTCCACGAGCCAGTGTTTTTATGATGATTTTTATCACATGTCGATTATTTGTTAAAAAATAAAAGCACATCCTTAGAGAACCAGTTGAAAGATACGCATTTAATAGCCATGTTATGGGTGCTTTTGTACAAAATTTGGATCATTTTTGAAAGTTTTGAATGTTAAAAATTAGTGTCGTGCATGATATTCTTTCTGAATTAATAGTTCGCAAATTAATCTAGTAGTTGCCATATCATTATTCCACTGGCACAACAGCAAACAAATTGACATACTTAATTTTAAAATATGGCTTAAGCACGTTGAGTAATTGTCAAACGTACTAGCTAAAAGCAGTATTTAATTTCCCTCCTCATCTAAGATAAGAACTATAACTAACATAGTCACATTCGGATTTAGGATGCAGCTTTAATTATGTAAAGGTTTCATGTTGCCTTAGTAGGGAAACACGCTCAGAATCATATGCGCTATGTTGTGTTTTCTATGCATTGCTTTATACTTTTACTATTGCACGTTGTGTACTATTATATGTAATCATAGGACTAGATCGTTCTTGTGCATTACAAAATAATATAGTAACTATATGTTTCCCTAAAAGATCAGGTTTGTCGTGAGAGTCACGAAGGATTTGAAAATCCATGATGTGTTGTTTCTTTAATTTTTTTAAGGATGTGCAATTTGTTTTATTTTTACATGTTTCCCGAATAACATCGATTTTTCTTATTTCAGAATTGGTGATGGCAGAGCCAGAAACAACAAATGGAACTCCCAATTCATCGACACTACCGCGCAGTGCGAGAAGGTGTCGAATCCCTCGGTTGAACCGTTCCACTTCTGCTAGACTGAAAGGGGACCTCTTAGACTCCATAAAATGCGAGAATCGTCCCAAGTCCATGACTCTGTCCTCTCCTAGGGATTATCCATGGCAGTTAGAAGGCCGCTATGGAGATATGGGGTCCGTGGCATCTATGCCCTTTTCCATTGACGACGATAGTTCCGTGAAGAGCTTTGGGAGCTTTGTAAGCTACACTTCATTTGCTAGTCAGAGCCAAGGCACAGAGGCGTCTTTGTCGCGGCCCATCAGCCGGTCGCATTATGGGAAGAAGTATATCCTGCATTGTGATCGACACCTAGCAAAACAGGAAGAATATTTGACACCGACGCAGAGGAAAGACAAAGAAATACGTCAATTAAAGTCAGCGCTCATGAAACAGACGAAACGATGTGAAGAGAAAGAAATGGAGATTGAGACTCTAAAAGCCGAAATGCAGAGACTTCAAGATACTATCGCTGAAGTAAATATCCGTGTATTTTCCCCTCTTTCTTATTTGAAATTATTATTTCAGAGGTCACTAGAATTTTTAAAAAGGATCAAATACTTTTCACCTCCTTCATTTGTATCAGAAGAAGTCTAATGAGATTGCTTGGGAAGAGAACTGTGAAATACTTTGCGATTCAATTTAAGCAGATGATTCTCATTCAAAATATTAGATTTTGTTCCAACAAAAAGGAAGTTTGCAAAGATTTGCCGGTATTTAAATAGTGATTTATTTATTTATGATGTAGATGATTCTCATTCAAAATATTAGATTTTGTTCCAACAAAAAGGAAGTTTGCAAAGATTTGCCGGTATTTAAATAGTGATTTATTTATTTATATGAAAATCGAGTTTCTGATTCAATTGTTATATTCAAAACTTCGTCTGTAAAGACCGATTAAAAGTTATGTATGCTTGAATTGATGCAATATTACTCGAAGGAGAATATCAATAATTAACATTCTATTTGATATATCCTTCTTTCACAGCCGTTCTTCTCCTGTTTGTGAAATAACTGTAGATAATTTCCATTTAGTTCCAGAAATCAGTGATGTTGAAGGGTATTCAATGTTATTTCTTATCCAAACACTGAATAGGATCTTTATTAGCATTCAGATGAAACTAAGTGCGAAACACTTGTCTTTTTCTCTCTTAATTCTTTTGTTGAATCGTCTGTCCTGTTATATAATATAGCAGTTTTTTTTATTAATGATTGTTATCTTATATAGACCTATTTCAGAGCATGTTTTGCGAATGTTACATGAATTTGTAGTTAGCGAGATGAAACTCCGGGTTTGAAACTTACTTTTATTTAATTATACTCTTAAAACTATTCTAATGACCTGAAACATTAAGTATATACATTTTTATAAACTATAAATGAAGTATAAAGCACGTTATAATCACAGGAGATTTAAGTTTTCTCAGAAAATAAGAATTTATTCAATATTTGATAGAAAACAAGATTATATTTTATAATTGACGTGTTCTAAATATTACACACTTAAATAATGCAACTTAAAAATTGCACAGCCTTCATTTTAAACACATTTTATTGTAAACCGCATCTAAAATTATGCTGACTATTCTTTGTGGAACCAAAATTAGATAACTTTGATTGTAAAGGTTGTTCGTAAATTCAGTAAAATTAGTTTTAAAAATTACCTTTTTATATTTGCCTACTCTTTAGAAATAATAATCCAGGTATCAATAATCTAGCCCTAATTTCTGCCAGAGTAATTTTAGATTCTTAAGGTCGTTGCAAGAATCTATCATAATTGTTAGGTGGGATAGCTGCTGGATTAACTGTTTTTGAGTGTTTGTAGTTGCTGGTAAGGCATTTCGAAACTTAGTATTAGCACAACCACCTTAGTAGAAGTTACCAAATCTCCAGAATGCCCCAAACTGTGCCAACCATCTACATAACAATTCTTCTCACCATTTTCGTGTGCGATTTTGATTTTTTCTGTTTTTTAAGTTCCAGTGGTTTTTATTGAAAAATCTAGACACTTTTTTATATTAATTTTAAAATATTCGCTTGAGAGATTTGTCTGTAACAGAAAAAGCTGAGTAAAAGTTTTGCTGGAATACATATTATGGCGCAATATCGCTAAATGGAACAAATGCTTTGAATATGTTCTAAAGTGATCGCCACGAAATTTCCAGCAGAACGAAAGAAACAAAAACCCACATGTAAGTAAGTTTATTGATTGATTATCGGAATAAATATCCAGTTCAAAACTAAAATTATGTATGTAATAATAAGTAAGCATGTAATAAATAATGATTTTGCAGTCATTATTATCTTTCTTCTGTAAAAAATTGCAAAACTAAGTCAAGGTTCTTGCGCTAGTGCGTAAGGCTTGCTTATCTTCTGTGCATTTTATAACATCGTCATCTTATCTTCAGTTATGACGTCAGTGAACGTAAAGCTTTGTCTAGTATGAAACACAAACACCATACGATATTTGTTTCAAATAAAGTAAAATTTCGGGAAAATCTCATATTCGAAACTGTTCAAATTTCAGTTTTTCTTTGTGGAGCTTGTGTGATTTATATAGTGTCTGCTTACCTATATTTTATGGCATACAGACAAACAGAAAAATTTCTCAATTTATTTGCTGAGAGTGGTTCAAAGAAAGAGATGCTTAAGGAAAATAATGAATAAAGAAAAACATGCAGAACTAGCTAACCTTGTTAAATGTTTACGGTGCTTCTATGGAGAAAGAATTGAATTTTATGAGTATCTAGTGAAGGAACAAAGCAAAATTTTCTTGAATTGGGATTAGCTTTCTCTGAGATCAAACTGAAGACTAATTTCAGAATTTTAAATACACTGATGAAATAAATTAAGAGAATTTGCATATTTATCAAATAAAAATGCGAATCTTGTACGGCAAATATGTAAGCGTACACGTGTGTGTAGGTGGAGCCAGCAGAAAAACAGACTATAAGCGCGTGCAGGGTAAGACGAATTGCATTCGTTAGCACACCTCGGCGAATTTCTTGATGTTACCTTGCAGCTTAGGTTAATTTCACATCGGAACAGTAAAAATGAGTAACCGCAAACATTTAGATGATGGAATGAGTTGGCGAGTTGTGGGGAGGCTAGAGGCAGGCTTATCACAAGTCCAGATATGCAGAGAGTTTATTTTAACGCCTAGCGTCGTGTGTAACCTATGGAAACAGGATACTTCATACATGGAGAGAGAGGCTGGGCAAGGTCGTTCAAGAGCCACAACGGCCGGAGAAGATTGCCTTTTTGTCCATTTTAGCGAGGCTTAACAGAGGGGCTATAGCTCCTCAGCTCTCTCGGGACCTGTAGACAACCACAGGAACCCATGTAACAAGGGTGACTGTTTCCAAAAGACTGAATTAGAGAGGGTTGTTTGCCAGAAGACCGGTTGTTTTCATCCCGTTCACGTCTACGGACAAGAGAGTCCGATTAGCATGGTGCAGGCAGCATAGTAATTAGAGTACGGAGCAATGGGCAACCGTTCTGTTCACCGACGAATCTCGTTTTAGCCTAAGCACCGATTCTCGCCGTACTTTCATATGGAAAGAGCCATCCTCCAATGTCAATAGTTATGGCGGTGGCGATGTAATGGTCTGGGCAGGCATCATGTTGGATGGCCTCACACCTCTCCACGTCTTTGACAGAGGCTCTGTGACTAGTGTGAGGTCTAGGGATGTTCGCCTTCTCCTGGCTGCAGTGGTACCGAGTTCATCTTATAGGACGATAACACGAGGCCACATAGGGCTCTTCTGGTCGACGAATTTCTCTAGAGCAGTGCTGCGCAACCTTTTCTCACCTGCGACGCACAAAAAATCTTTCTGGAATTTCGTGGCACACCAAAGAGTTCCGAGTTATCAAGGAAGTGCCGAAAAAATTCAAATGCTGACACACTTACAATCACACACACAACCACACAACAGTAAAATATATAAAAACATTTAAAATAGACAATATTAAGGAAAAAAATTGTCATTGTGTATTAAATACATGATAAAAAATTGCAAAATGTCAGATACATGTATTTGATTGCGGCACACCTATATCCTACTCATGGCACACCGGTTGCGGAGCATTGCTCTAGAGTGAGGATATTCGCCAGATGAATTGGCCAGCCAGGTCTCAAAACCTATAGAGCATGTCTGGTACGCTCTGGAGAGGAATCCCCTCCGAGAACCATCCAGGAATTGAAAATAGCGTTGCTGAATGAGTGGACCAATTGCCATAGGCTCTGCTAAACTGCCTTATTTCCAGTATGACGTCACGCTGCGATGTCTGTATGAGGGGACCATACTCCCTATTAACCCACTTCTTTTGTGCCTTCAACAACCGCTGTTTCAAACCTTCAGACTCCCATGAGTGTATAACACGAACATGTGTGTCTATTATAACTATTGAATGTTTATTTTGTTTCTATTATATTAACCTAAGTTCACACCAAATTTTATTAAAATCTGTCCAGTAGTTCAGGAGATCATAGATCAAATATGCAAATTCTCTTAATTTATTTCACCAGTGTATCTGCATGCTTTACAGTGAGCAGTAAAAGTATCCTGTAGATAAGCAAGCGCTTGCTAACACGGGATTCGCTAAATTAAATTAAAATGAAAAAATAAGTCCGGAATATTTTCACAATGCATATGAAACGCGCCAGCCTGGAAATGTATGCCAAGATGCTTAAATTAATTGATTAAGGCAAGGTGCATGACAGCTATCCGCTTAACACGTTAGCTGATTGAGATATGGGGGCCCTTTATAAATCCAGATATTATATGCCAGTGACTAATATGATTTTGGGATAACTAGAGGTTTTTTGGGGGGCCCTAAGTTATATCGTGTGTAGCTTATACGTAAATCCTGCACTGCATCTATGAGATAACTCGTTACTCCTCGCCTTACCTAAATCATCGAATACTGCCGTAGCAAATGCATGCAATGTTTAGATGTCTGATCCAGCTGCAAATTTGCCGGTCCTAACCTGCATATTTGCCGGCTATCATCCTTTAATACTGCAAAGAGCGATGCAGAAAGAGAAATGTCGTGGTAAGTCTCGCAGATAGGATGAAAAGTGAAGGAGAGCGTGAAACATAGTCACGTGGTATGTTCAAGTCATCTGATGCCAAGGAGATAACAGTAGAAATGCTGCAAAAACATAACAAAAACCTGAACAAAAATATATACAATATTCAGGTACAAATACATGATTTTTCCTTAATCTATGGGTGGTAAGTCATCTAGTAAGTGTGATTCCAAAGCATGGTAATACAGGAATGCAGAGATAAGTTGTGGATAGTCCGCAGGTGAGAGGCCACCCTCGCGAGTCCAGTCTCTGGGCTGTCACACACACTAAGTGGAAAAATCATGATTGCTGAAGATGGAAAAATTTGAAAAAGTTTTTAAATACCGAGCATCCGTCAGTACTTCGTAGTGCAAAGTGTTGAAAAAATTAAAAAAATCACAGTCCGGCATCACTAAAAAATTTTGCATTTGCCTTTCGCAGGTAGTTTCTAATCGTGGGGATTTTTAAGTCAGTGTGCAAAACCTTGTTCTTGACAAAATAGTGTGCATTGGTGATGGTCTTGAGGCACTTATTTTGCACAATCTGTAATTTATTTAAATCATAATCTGTGACAGAGGCCCAAGGGCATTCACTTCAACACTTTCGCGTAAGTGCACGAAAGGGGTGAGTATTCTTTATCGAGTATACCAATATTGTGAGAAGACAAAACTACATAATTACAAATATTTACCATTTACTTCAAAGGACTCACAATAGATCGATAGTACTTTCCTATTCAAATTCACATCGTAAATTAAACAGCATTCTCGTTATACAGAAGAAAAATGCCGCCTTATGGCGTTAAAAATTAATTGTTTGAGAATTTACTCAACATCGATTTCCCAGCATCTCGTACTTAGCACCGGGAGCAAAAATATTATTTAATATGCCGATATCGAGAATACCCGTGTTAATTTTATTTATTGCTAAATCTAATCTGTTATATCTATATTTAAACAATAAAACAATAGAAAATAATTTAAAAACATAAACGTGCAGATAAGGATCTTGGTGCCTGTGAAACGGATCCACTCATATGAACTTTGGCAGGAACGTGCTATGAACTCTGGGTGCTGAAGATACAAAATCACAATAAAAAATGTCAAAAGATCATGTTTTGTGCTAAATTACTTCAATGCTGCAAAGATGCACAATCATATTGCTTAATTTTCTTCGGACTTTTATTTATTTTTTTTTTCTTTAACCCGTATTTATTGATATGAAGGATATTTCAAAAGCAAGATGAGACGTTTAACTATTAGGCTAGATGTATTCTAATGTAACCATGAATAATCGGGCAAAATCTCTTTTCTGAAAATCAATTGGCTCCAGTGAGGTTCAGTTTCTAATGGTTAATCTGAACTTGTACTCCAGTTATATTAAGTAACAGGAAAGCTTACTTACCATCACGATGATTACTAGAAGTCTCTTTTAAAGTCATGATATTACGCTAAGGCTGGAAGTGTCATGTGTGCTTTTGCATGCTAAAAATATGCCTCAGCTCATGCTAAAGACACCCATCACAATACTGCATGTGGAATTTTCTGAATTACATATGCTATGTTGGTCGCTAGGTTTTTAGCAGTTTTCGGATTATCACTCTACTACTTTTCAATTTTATACGAGTCCAAAAAATTCTCGGCCTTTTTCATATGCATTCTTCTCTTTTTCTTAGCTCCACAGAAAGAAGAAAGGGGGGGGGGAAGCAAAGATGTTATGTCTAGCTATCCGATCTAATTTCTTAACGGCTTTTGTCGAGGATTAAGTAACCTAAATTTATTATTGAAAATAGATGATGATTTTGTTTCAACGAATTTTGTAAATAATTCATTTTTATGAAGAAAATTCCGTATAGCATTTTTATACAATGTTTTTTTAAAGTTTTAATAATAAAATTTTGATATAGCTATATCACTTGCATCAGATAGCCTCATTTCTTTTCATTTAAGATTTGTTTGTAAAAAATACTATTTATTTAATCATTTTCTTAATCTGCAATGAAAACTGCACTCTAACTTTCTGATCATGTTCAATAGAAAATGTCTTTAGTACCATTTATTTTTAAGAATGCCAAATAAATTAGGTTTAACACTGAATTATGCTACCTAGTACAGATCATTAGTAATGTACTGAAATTCAGAAATTATGTGATATTTTGATTTCCTTTCCGTATTCTAATTATTTGCTTCCTTCTCTTTTTTTAGTTACGAGATGGAAAACACAATCTGATGAATTCCTCTCAAGAAAGTGACCACTTAGACAGTATGAATACAAAAAATTCAGCCTCTGAAATTAGTTTTGAAAGTAATGATACTGATAGAAGCGATATGCAAAATACTGTAACTATGAACAATGATGACAGTGGAGTATCGAATGTTTTATCAATGAGTCCAAGAAATAGTTCCGAATTCGATGATCTCGATCGCCATCACAGTAAAGTTACAACAGCTGATAAAGCTGTGTGCACAGATCTGTCCCTTTTTGACTTTTCTGCTCCTGTAAACAAGACTGAAATAAATCACATAACAACTGTAAACCACTCTCAACGTAATTTCAGTGAGAGTTCTGTTGCGGAAAACTGTAAGGATAATGGCTCGCAACTTGAAAAGCTTGCCGTTGCAGCTTCACCTAGATTATCGCAGGAATTTGAAAGGTTCCTGACTACTTACAAACAAGAGCTAGAACAATTGAAAGCACAGCACAGAGAACATTACCAGGATTTGAAAGAGAGATTTAATGAAAGGGTAGATGATCTACTTCAAAAGTTAACGGAAGCTAATTCAAGGTAATTTTTTTACTATTTCTTTTGAAAATATGGGATAGTTCAGAAGTTCCTGACGGATTAAAAAATTTAGCTTTCGGCGGAAAGATATTGATTTAATACTTTAGATATTGTTATAGTGATTTAAATTTGCTTTATTGTATCCTTACCAACTTCGATGTATAGGCCTTTGATCGCTAACATCTAATTCAAATTCAATCCATGTAACGCTTCAAACTGATCCCGAAACATTCCCAGTTGCTTGAGTTCACGCTTTCATGCATGCAATATTTAAACTCCGAGATATCTACATTTTATCTTTGGCGTACCACTAAGAAGAAATTAAATGGTGTTTCTAGATAACAGAATGGTAATGAGGTAAGATTTTCCTACTAAATCCATCTCTCAGGGGTAGATCGTCTCGACAGCGTTAAGCCAAAGAGCGTCTCGACAGCGTTACGCCAAAGAGGTGATGCCCTATTTTGTTGGCACATGATATTTTAATATAAATAAGGAATCTGAGGACATCAAAAGTGTTAGCATGAGTGATATGACAGGGAAGTACATTTCTATGAAACTAGGTACGATGAAAGAGAAAGATTTAGTGGGGAGAGGGATTTATATTTTTTTAATTACTGTTACCAATCTTTGTGAATTTTGATTCTCTATGCACTTGTTTACAACTTTACTCTACTAAAGTGTCAAGAGCTTCTGAACAATCCCATATAAGATAAACAGAAATTATTTTTATTGCGTAACACACATTAATAAGATTTGAATGACTTATATTAATATATAAATTGCAGTACGTAGACGTATAACTAATTATTAGAAGCATTATATTTACAGTATATAAGACTGAGTACTGAGCAAAAGAGAAAGTTGTGAGCATCAAGTAATGAGATGTCATAATATCTGGTATTCCATAGTTAGGCAGTGGCTTAGCGAGAGCTTTTGCCGCCCAGGGCGGTCCCTCGATTTTCCAACCTTCTTAATATACAAATAAATAACTAAAATATTTCAAAATGACTTATAGAGAAATAAATTTAAATTGTATGTTTATTTTCCAAGAAACATTTCAATTTCCAGTATTTTAAAACTAAATTATTATTTTGCTTGCTTTTTGTTCTCAAAACTATCAATGACATCTTCAATGTCTACTTTATTTTTACATCTTCAATGTTTGCTGTAATGTAGACAGTATAGAAAGATTATATATATATAGTATAGAAAGTAAATATTGATAGTTCTTAAGTACTTCTTTAATGTAAAATAAACATTTAGTTCTTAAATACTTTATAAAAGACTTTTATTTGGAAATCTGTTCTCACAACCAGCAGCGCTGCAACTTTATTCTGAAGATTATATTTTAAACTGCAAAAATTCAAAAAAACGTCTTTTCCACGTTTCTGTTGCTTTTCCCCTAGCAGCAAAGGAAATAAAGCTCTTGAAGTAATTCTCTCTTAACAAGGAATTCATTATTAACGCCACCATGATCATAATTTAACTGATTTTCTTAATATTCATTAAAACGCTTCGACGGAATAGAAAAAAATATAACTTTGTAGTCAACTGTTGAAAACTCGCGGTGATTTATTTGAATAATTTACCTCTATGATCCACGCAAAAAGTGCCGGCCCCCAAAATAATGTGTCGCCCGTGGCGGACCGCCTCCCCTAGTTAAGCCGCTGTAGTTGAGTTATGAGATATTTCATTGTTAAGAACTACACGATAATTGTTTAATTGTTCCCTAATGTTATGTCGTGGAGCAAAAACACTTTTACTTTACACCTGACTGCCACTGGCTCCCGACATAGCAATGTGAATACTCTACATCTAAAATTTTAAAACACCATTCCAGAATTTTAAATGTTTATTTAATAGAATTCTATTCATATATTTGCGAGTTATACACTATAAACACAATAAACAAAATTTAAACTTATCTGCAGCAGCGTGAATAAGCCTGGCATAATATTCTGAACTTACCTTGTGCAACCTTAGGGGGGAAAATACCGCAAACTCAAACACAAAGTTTCATCCTTTCCAACGCAGCTAATTTTCTTGAGCGAATTTTTACTAATATCCGCAGCGGGACAGCGGATTCATTTCATTCACCCAAAACTCAAATGTTTTAACGCAATAGTATCGCAAAGGAAACATCGACTCAAAATCAAAATATTAAAATCTGTAGAATATCATCCGCTGTTGCCATTCCAGCACTGCCAAGTTTTTCTTCCTGCAGCTGTTGCCAGACTTATCCTCGCTGTATGATGAGAGGTACAACACCTAATATTTTGTTAGAGCAAACAGATGCTTTGTTTTGGATGATAATTATTCCGTAAAATACCGTACTGATGATTATCAGAAAATTTGCAAACGTCTATCGAATCTAGCAGTAAGCTGTAGTCTTGCTTTAAGAAATGAATTATATAAGGCAGGTCTTTAAACAGTGGCATTTTTATCACATGATATACGTATTTTAGTAAAACTACATAACGCTTGGAAATTTTATATGGACATCTTAGAAACAAATTATTAATAAAAAAAAGTATTTTTGATAGCCGGAAATAACTAAGTAAATAAATAAATAAAATTAAAAAATTAAAAATAAATAAATAAATAAAATAAAAAAAAATATCTAGTTGACAATTTTTGGCCATTTTCACTGTTTCCCCCCTCCCCATCCTTGGTTGTATTGTTATGCTTTGATCCGCTTTGTAGCAGATTTTGTTTTTTGAATGGTTTTTAGTTTTTATTGTTATCTTTAATGCTCAGCCTTAAAACATTCTAAAATATTTATTCAAAATTTAAAGAGATTTTATAGGAATAAATTCAGCAAATTGTGGTCTGCTGTCTGATGAAGAGCTACAATTTTACTTGAGACTTCCATTTTGCTTTATTTCAATTCCAATTTTTAACGGTTTTTCCCCCGTTCAATTTGTTCTTTGCTTTCTAGAGCTGTCAAGCATGAAAGGTAATTCATCTCGCAATTTTCTTGTTTTTTCACATTATTTTGTAGCAGTAATTAGTGCACAAGTATTCTATCGGTCTATAGATAGACACAGAAACATATACATGTTTCAGATACACAGAAACATATACATGCTGGTAACATATACATGTCTAGAATGTATGACATGATTCAAAAGCCATTGTTGTTTATTCACGGCTTCTTCAGACTTTCATTAAAGGAATATTGTTCTATTAGAAGATTACCGTTTGCAGTTGACTGGGATGTGGTACTTCGGAATTAAGGCAAAAAGCAGTTGTTCCGACTGAGTTTAATTGCAGAACTTGGCGTTAATATTAATACTTTGCTTATCTGGAATTACTTTCCGATAGATAAAATCTTAAAATTTTTGCCACATAGAAGGTAAAGTTTGCGTCTGAAACGGTCATTTCGTTAACCAATTAGGGGACTAGAATTCTACTGCTCATTTCTCATATCAGATACACAGAAGGATTCAATTTTCATCACAATTTCTCAGACAAAATGCCTTGAGGGGAAAGTTGAGTAGACATATTTCGTTCAGCTATTATGCTTGAACAAGAATAAATTTGAGGATTATCTGACAAATGCTTATCAAACACTGCGCAATTTACAGAGCAGGCGACGGAGGTTGGATAGTGATAATATCAAGCCATCTGACAACCTCCGACTAAACGTGAAGTCTTCGCCATCGAATGGATACGTGTGCGGTGCTGAAAAATTATATGAATTAAAAGATAAAAAAAATTATATGAATGCCGTACAAATTATATTCGATCAAGGAGAATCCACGAAAGAAATTAAAATTCTTCTGTAATTTTCCGAAATAATCTTCAAAGACAGATTTCTGGATATAATTTCTGTTTCACTTTCGTTTAGAGAATATATAATTTATCATACACTCTTAGAAAAAAAATCGACGCACCAAGAAGGAGTTATCCGAATATCCTTACGACGAAAATCGGTAGGAATGATGTACATGTACAGAAAAACAAATGATTACAGTTTGAGGAAAATTGGATGATTTATTGAAGTGATAGAGCTTCACAAAGTGAAAAAGTCAGTAACGCGTTTGTCCACCTCTGGCCCTTATGCAAGCAGTTATTCGGCTTGGCATCGATTGATGGAGGTTGCGGCTGTCCTCCTGAGGGATATCGTGCCAAATTCTGCCCAACTGGCGCGTTAGATCGTCAACAACCCGAGCTGGTTGGAGGGCCCTGCCCATAATGCTCCAAACGTGCTCAATAGGAGAGAGATCCGGCGACCTTGCTGGCCAAGGTAATGTTTGGCAAGCACTAAGGCAAGCAGTAGAAACACGTGCAGTGTGTGGGCGGGCATTATCTTGCTGAAATGTAAGCATAGGGTGGCGTGACATGATGGGCAACACAATGGGCCTTAGAACTTCGTCGACGTAGCGCTGTGCTGTAAGGCTGCGACGGATAACAACCAAAGGGGTCCTATCATGAAATGAAATGGCACCCCAGACCATCACTCATGCTTGTCGGCTTGTCTGCCGGAAGCCAGTCAGGTTGGTATCACACCGCTGTCCAGGGCGTCTCCAGACCTTCCTTCGCTGCTCATCGGCGCTCAGCTTAAAGCGGGACTCGTCACTGAAGACTATTCTACTCCAGTCAGTAACATTCCAGTGCGAATGTCGGGCTTGACGTTGTACAGAGGTCAATGGTAGTCGGCGCAAGGGGCGCCGTGACCTCAGCCCCTTTCTGTGAGCCGTCTATGAATGGGCCTTGCGGTCACTGAAGCACTAGTTGCACGTACAATCTATGATAATGATGTATCTGGGGTAGTGAGTGCCACTCTGACGATTGCTCGGTCTTCACGTTCTTCTCTAGGCTCACTTTCTTTTTGACGCTGTGTGTCGGCATGGTTCACCCATTCCTGCCAACATCGTCTAATAGTGGCATCGCTCCTGCTCAAATGTCGAGCTATTCCCCGATAAGACCAACCGGCTTCTTTGACCTTCTGCAAGACCTCTCTCAAATTCTGACATCTGCGCATATCGGTCGCGCTCCTG